AGAAAAATGATCACTTTAATTATACAGTAGTTTTAGCATCTAATAGTAGAGAGAATATTATAATGACCAATGAATTTATCAATCAACTTTTGCAATCATAAACTCATTGGCAACTGTAATCATTAAAGTCATGTGACAACTTGGCTATCCCAGGATTCTCAGTGGTTTGGCAGTTATGATGTAGTATGGCAGTGATATCCTTATGTGATCACTTCCATGATGAGATTTGATATAATGTGATCACCTCCATGATGGGATCTGTTGTGAGTAGCCAATCAATTGAAGGAAAGTTTCCTTGGGGTGTGGCCTTTGTCCAATATATGTGGACTTTCTGAGAAGTCTTCTGGGCTTTTGCTCCTCTGCAACTTGCAGCTGCCTCCAGTACCTCTGACCTCGTTTCTTGGGACATGAGCTCGCAGTTTGCTTGCCTCCTTGCCTGCTGATCTTGGGATAACTTGGTCTTCTCAGCCTGAGAGCTAGAGTCCTGCTGTCTGACCTGCCGATCCTGGGTGCGCCAATCCCTGCAGCCATCAGCTTAGATTTAGAAGGTAACAAAGTTTTTTTTTTTTTTTAAATTAATGTTGGATTTTGGGCTAGGTAATTATTAAAACAGGAGTCCCTGGGTGGCATAAATAGTCAAGTGTTGGGCTACTAACTGAAAGGTTGGCAGTGCAAACTCACCCAAGACTCCTCGGAAGAAAGACTAGGGGATCTGAGTCTGAAAGGTCACAGCCTTAACAAGCCTTTGGAACACAGTTCTACACATAGGGTTTTCGTGAATCTGGAATAGCCTCTGGAGCTTAGTTCTCTGCAACACATGTGGTCACCATGAGTCAGAATCAACTCAAGGGCAACTGGTTCCTGTTTAATTACTAAGATATCTTCACTCTGAGGAGTATGACCACTTAATTTACTTACTATTTTCATATTGTGGATACTGAGCATTTTTTTTCCATTTTATAGTTTGTGTTGTATTTATGCCATGTATCAGGGCCCCTAATGATTTCCCCATTTTTTCTTACATCGTCTTTATTGTTTCAGGTTTTATATCTAGGTTTGATCCATTTTGAGTTAGTTTTTGTATGTGGTATGAGGTATGGGTCCCGTTTCATTTTTTTTTTTTTACAGATGGATATCCAATTTTGGCAGCACCATCTGTTATAAAGACTGTATTTTTTCCTCCAATTAATGGACTTTGGTCTTTCTTTTATTATACTTTAGATGAAGGTTTACAGAAGAAACTAGCTTCTCATTAAACAATTAGTACACATACTGTTTTGTGACATTTGTTACCAACCCCACGACATGTCAACACTCTCCCTTCTCAACACTGGGTTCCCTATTACCAGCTTTCCTGTCTACTCCTGCCTTCTAGTAATTGCCCCTGGACTAGAGTGCCCCTTTAGTCTCATTTTCTTTTCTGACCTGTGTAATCTTTGGCTGAAGGGTGAACCTCAGGAGTGACTTCATTACTGAGCTAAAACGGTGTTCGGGGGCCATACTCTCGGGCTTTCTGCAGTCTCTGTCAGGCCAGTAAATCTGGTCTCTTTTTGTGAGTTAGAATTTTTTCTACATTTTTCTGCAGCTCTGTCTGGGACCCTCTGCTGTGATCCCTGTAAGAGCAGTCAATGGTGGTAGTCGGGCACCATCTAGTTGTGCGGGACTCAGTCTGGTGGCAGTTGTGGTAGTTGTGGACCACTGGTCTTTTGGACTAATCTTTCCCTTATGTCTTTGGTTTTCTTCATTCTCCCTTGCTATGGATGGGGTGAGAACAGTAGAATATCTTAGATGGCCACTCACAAGCTTTTAAGACCCTAGACACTACTCACCAAAGTAGAATGTAGAACATTTTTTTAATAAACTGTGTTATGCCAATTGAGATAGATGTTCCTCGAGACCATGGTCCCCACAGCCCTCAACCCAGTAATCTGGTCCCTCAGGAAGTTTGGATGTATCTATAGAGCTTCCAGGACCTTGCCTTGGACAAGTAATGCTGGCTTCCCCAGTATTGTGTACTGTCTTACCCTTCACCAAAGTTACCACTTATATGTTGTCTATTTAGTGCTTTTCCTACATCCCCCTCCTCTCCCATCAAAGATTGTTTCTTTTTGTGTGTAAACCTTTTCATGAGTTTTTACAGTAGTGGTAACATACAATGTTTGTCCTTTGTGATTGACTTATTTCACTCAGCATAATGCCCTCCAGAGTCATCCATGTTGTTAGATGCTTCGAAGATTCGTTATCGTTCTTTATCATTGCGTAGTACTTTTGTGTGTATGTACCATAGTTTGTTTATCCATTTATCTGTTGATGGGCATCTAGGTTGTTTCCATCTTTTTGCTATTGTGAACAATGCTGCAATGAACATGGGTGTGCCTATGTCTATTCGTGTGACAGCTCTTATTTCTCTAGGATATATTCCTAGGAGTGGGATTACTAGACCATACAGTATTTCTATTCCTAGCTTTCTAAGGAAGCGGCATATCATTTTCCAAAATGGTTGTACCGTTTTGCATTTTCACCAGCACTGAATAAGTGTTCCAATCTCTTCACAGCCTCTCCAACATTTGTTATTCTCTGTTTTTTTGATTCTTGCCAGTAGTACTGGGATGAGATGGTATTTAATTGTGGCTTATGTTTTGTATTTCTATAATGGCTAGTGATCGAGAGTACTTCCTCGTGTGTCTGTTAGCCACTTGAATGTCTTCTTTGGTGAGTGTCTGTTCATTTCCTTGTTCCGTTTTTTAGTTGGATTATTTGTCTTTTTGTTGTAGGGGTGTTGGATTTTCCTGTAGACTTTAGAGATTAGATCTTTGTCAGATTTGACATAGCCAATTTTTTTTCCCCAGTCTGTAGGTTCCCTTTTTTCTCTTTTGGTGAAGTCTTTTGATGAGCGTAAGTGTTTATTTTTTAGAAGATCCCAGTTTTCTAGCTTATCTTCTGGTGTTTGTGTGTTGTTAGTTATGGTTTGTATCCTGTTAATGCCGTGTATTAGGGTCTCTAGCGTTGACCTTATTTCTTCTTCTTTGATCTTTACATTTTTTGCATTTATATTTAGGTCGTTGGGCCATTTTGAGTTAGTTTTTGTGTATGGTGTGAGGTATGGGTTCTGTTTCATTTTTTTGCAGAGGGACACCCAGTTTTTTCAACACCATTTGTTAAAAAAACTGTCTATTCCCCATTTGATGGATTTGGGGCCCTGGTCGAAGATCAGCTGACCCATTGGTGGATGGATTTATATCTGGGTTCTCAATTCTGTTCCATTGGTCAGTGTATCTTTCTTTGTACAGTAGCTTCTGAGGTCAGGTAGCATGAGTATCCAACTTTATGCTTCTTCAATAGTGCTTTACTAATCCAGGACCTCTTCCCTTTCCATATAAAGTTAGTGATTAGTTTTTCTATCTGTTTAAAGAATGCTGTTGGTATTTGGGTTGAGATTGCATTGTAGTTGTAAATTGTTTTGGGTAGAGGTGACATTTTCACAGTGTTCATTGTACTTTTCCATGAGCATGGTATGTTTTTCCATTTATGTAGATCTCTTTTGGTTTCTTGTATTAGTGTTTTGTAGTTTTCCTTGTATAGGTCTTTTACATCCCTGTTTCGATTTATTCCTAAATATTTTTTTTCAGGGGCTATTATAAATGGGCAATTATTAATATCATTTATGTAGTATTTATAGTGTTCTGTCATTAGCATAAGTACTTGAAACACTTATTGAATCTTGGGTGTTCTTTGAATTTACAGAAGAGGGAACTGAAGTTCAGGAAAATCAGTTCACTTTTCCAGGGACACATAGCTTTTTGGTGTCTGAGCTAAGATCTATACTAGGTCCATCCACTCTAAAACCCAAGGAGATTCCATAATTGTGTTTAGCTTGATTCTAGCTTTTCAGTGTAGCTATTCAGCCTGTCATTGTCCTGAGACTGACTGGAGCTAGAATCAAACCAATCAGGCAAAGCAAAGGAAATTCCCTTCATGGTTATAAGGACTAACTGCTCTGGATTCTGACCATAAGACTGAACGTAGACCTTGTGCTGTGTTGTGTGTTCTGACCTAGATCGAGGAAGACACGTCTACTCTGCACCAGAGAAATGAACCTTCCGTCTCTGGTGGTTGGTCCAGCAGCACCACCCATGATGTGAGCATGTAAGAGCCGCTTCCCACCCACAGAACCAAGACCGGGACAGAGAATTGGCAGGACAGTTTGCCCCAGTCCACAGGTAAGGGGAAACTCAGGGAACACGGGCAGTGACAGGAGCCTTGGAGAGGCCAGAATGAGGGGAGGAGGCATAGAGTAGGGATACCATGCAGGAACATCTCACCAAGGTCCATTAATGCGGTTAAACTGGGTGGGGGTAGTCTGGAGGGCTTCCCATAGTAAGTAAAATGTTTACTAGATCCATTTTGAAGCTGCTTTCTGGCTGGCAGAGCGGGTAATTTAGGCATCGTCAGAGGAGGATGCAGGGTGGGGGCACAGTAGCTCCAGTCATGGATATGACCTACATCTGGGGGCTTCTGTTGCTCACCCGGACTAGATGTGAGGGAGGCATGGGAAAGTGAAAAATGCTGTTGTGAATAACTGTTTTTCTTTCTTTCTTTCTTTCTTTTTTTTTTGCAGAAAGGTCAATTGACCACAGTGTGGATTCTGTTGACTTTTTTCCTATGCTGTTTTTATTTCCAGTCCTTCTTGGATTCCTGGCTCTTTTGTAATGAAGAAAGTACATACATGTGCTTTATCTGCTGGCCATTGAGTGTAAGTGTGAAAAGTGCCAAATAGAGCTGTGATTGAGCAGTTCAACTCTTTTGCAGCTGCATCTAGAGCTGAAGAGAAGGAAGGTGAAACAGGCCTGAGTCGTTATAGCTTTTTGGGGACATATAGAAACCACAGACTGCTTTTCCGAAAAACAGAAAACGCTAAGTCATCAGATTCTCACATTTCTTAGCTCCCAGAAAACCAGGCCGTGTTGAAGAGTTTCTTCAGACTGAAACTTCATTGCACAATGGCCTTTGCAGCCTACCTGGCCGACCTCCACACAGAGGCCAGCTGCCCCATCTGCCTGGATTACCTGAGAGACCCTATCACCACTGACTGTGGCCACAACTTCTGTCGCTCCTGCATCCAACAGTGCTGGGTAGACCTACAGGACATCTTCCCCTGTCCAGTCTGCCTCCAACAGTGTTCCAATGGGAGCCTCAAGAGGAACACTCAATTATGTAACATGACTGATATTGTTAAGCAACTTCCCATCACAAGGAGCAAGAGGAAACTGCAGGAAGAGAAACCCCTGTGTGAGAAGCACAACCAGACGATGGCCTTGTTCTGTGCAAAAGACCTGGAACTACTGTGTCCCCAGTGCAGAATCTCCTCCAACCACCAGGATCACCACCTGATGTCCATTGAGGAAGCTGCAACTAGTCACAGGAGAAAGCTCAAAAAGTATATTGAGCCTCTAAGGAAGCATGTTGGGGATGCTGAAAACGGGTTAGAAATGGCAGTCTCAAAACTAGTGGAATTGAAGTGCAAGGTAGAAAATCAGAATAGTGAATTACACTCAGAATTTCAACAGTTTGTGCATTTCTTGGCCAAGGAGCGGGAAGCAATTCATGTTAGGCTACTAAATGAAGAGGAGGATGTTCTTAAAAAACTAATTGAAAACAAAATCCAAATTTCAGACCACACTTCCACACTAAAAAATCTGTTAAGTGAAATAACAGAGAAGTGTGTGCAGGCAGACCTGGATTTACTGACAGGTATTGGAAGTATCCGCAACAGATATGAACTCCTAAAAAACCCCACAGTGTTTTCATATGAGTTAGAGAGGGAGCATTGCTGTCTCCCTCCACAATATTTTGGTCTGCAAAATATGATTAACACATTTCAGGTAAATTTAATACTAGATCCTGAAACTGCCCACCCTGATCTTATTATCTCAGAAGATAGAAAAACTGTAATATATAAAATGATGAACCCAAACTGCCCTCAGAGTGCCAGGGAATTTAACGTTTACCCATCTGCCTTGAGTTCTGAAGGATTTGATAGTGGCAGGCATTTTGGGCAGGTAGAAGTAAGAGGGCGAGGTGAATGGTCCTTAGGTGTGTGTAAAGAATCTTTCCCCAGAAATGTGATTACATCACCATCCCCAAACAATGGATGCTGGCAAATTGAGCTCTGGACTAGTGAATTTGCTACATGGGAGTCAGTAAACCTCTCACGGATTGGTGTTTTTATGGACTGTGAGTTGGGAGAGGTTTCATTCTACAATTTGAATAATAGATCGCTTTTGTATACTTCCACTGTCACATCTGTAGAAAAACTTATTCCTTATTTCTCTATTGGACCGTCTTCTAATTCTCTTGCAATTAGTATTGTCAGAAATGAATGATGAACCTCCTGAGATTTCATTTTGTACGTTGTTATATTTTTTCCTGTGATCTTGGAGAACATTTATAATAGAGTCTGACTCCTTTTCTGTTGTTTACTGCTGACATATTTTTTTCTATAGATTTTAATGTTTACAGCAGTATTAAATTTATGGAAAAATTGTGCAGGCTTTAGAGAGAAATCTCATATACCTCCCTCTTCCACCTACAGACTGTCCCTATTATTATTAACGTCTTGCATTCAAGTGACACATTGGTTACAGTTGATGAACAAATACTTGTCCATCATTATTAAGTAAAGTCTATAGTTTACCTTAGTGGTGACCTTTAGATTGTACAGTCTTATGGGCTTTGACAAATACATAATGTCATGTGTCCACCATTACAGCAAAAGATAGAATAGTTTCACTACCCTAAAAGGCCTTGTGCTCCATCTATTCTTCCCTCTCTCTCTGAACTGCTGGCTAGCATTCATCTTTTCACAGGCTGTTCCGGAATGTTGTATATTTGGAATGTGCATTAAATAGTTTTTCAGAAGATCTTCTTTAACTTAGTAATGTGCTTTTAAATTTTCTCTTGATCTTTCAGGCTGATCAATACTCCTTTTTATGCAAATTTGAAATAAAAAACATAATACTATTTACATTAGCAGTAAAAATTCCAATTCTTAAGTATAAATCTCACAGAATACGCATAAGATTTCTGAGGAAATGGACAAAACTCTAATGAATGAAACCAAAGGCGATCACAATAAATGGAGTGTTGGGAAAATGGTCTGCACCTGCTAATTTGGGCGCTCTAATGAGAGGCCTTGATTCCAAAACATTTGCTGATAGCAGCTGTTGGGAAATGAGTGTGTCTCTATTTCCCAGTTTCTTCTCCTTTGAGGGAAGCCTCCCTCCCAGTTCTGGGCACAGAGTAGATTTCTGTGTTCTGCTCATGTGTTAGCAGCATATGGCACCAGGTCCACCCCAATTCTGTATCTGTTCCCCGCAGGGAGGGAATGGAGTTTACGTGTTTCACAAGAGGGTTGTGCAAATCACACCTGCTATCTTAACTATCTAATGTTGCAACAACAGAAATACTACAAGGTTTTCAAAACAGAAATTTATTTTCTCAGGTTTAGGGGGTTAGAAGTCCGAATTCAGGATGTTGGCTGTAGGGGAACGCTTTCCCCGTCTGTAGCCTGTGGGGGAAGCTATTTGTCTCTTCAGCTTCTGATTGCTGGTTCCATGGAGATCTCTGTGTGGGTTGACATCTATCTTCCCCCATCTCTGCTTGCTTATTCAGCTCCTTTTATACCTTCTTAGACATTGACTTGAGACACATCCTGCACCAGTCCTGTCTCCGTAACATAATAAAGACAACCCACTCAATCTGGATTATAAACACAGGAATAGAGGCTAGGATTTGCGACTCATATTTTCACAGGACTCAGTTCAATCCGTAACACCTGTCTTGCATCATCCACGGGAGTGACTAGCTGACCATGGGGATCCAGTGCTTGTTAGTGAAGCTGACCTCGCTCTAGCTCTTCTCTATGTGAAGAAAGCATGTTCTATGCACTGCCTGAGTCTGATTTGTGTTTTGTTGATGGCCTCAAACCCTGGCTTCATGTAGAAGTATTCATGTTCATTGACAGGAAGACAATATTGTGAGAATGTCAATTCTTCCCAACTTAAATTAAATGAAAACCTGATCAACATCCCAGAAAGTTATTTTGTGAATATTGATACACTGATACCAAAGTTTACATGTAAAGGCAAAAGTAGAATAGCCAACACAATCTTGAAGAAGAACAAGTTAGAAAACTGACACAATGTGACTTCAAGACTTACTATAAAGCTATAGTGATCAAGACAGTGTGGTATTGTCAGTGGACGGAATAGAGAGCACAGAGATAGATTCACAGTAGTGTAGTCAACTGTCTTTGACAAAGGGACAAAAACAATTCAATGGAGAAAGGACAGTCTTTCCAACAAACGGTGCAAGAACAACGAGATACCCACATGCAAAAAAATGAATCCTGACAAAGAGCTTACATCTTTCACATAAATTAACTCCAAGTGGATCGTAGACCTAATTTTAAAATGCAAAACTCAAACGTTTCCATAGATTAGGTAGTAACAGATGAAAGTTACCTAAGATTCGGTGATGGCTTTTTATTCACAAAACCAAAAGCACGATTCAAAGACAGTTTTGTTCTTCTTTTATAATTATCTATCATATTGCAATTATCATTCCCCACTTCTTATGAGGAAAGATTGGGAAGCTACTACAAATTATTTGCAATTCTAAAATTAAAATATTTAAATAAATAAAAAGAATTGCAGTACTGATTCTTCAAAAATATGGACCACAAATACACCTCATTTACCTTTACATTAATAGGCAAAGAAAGTGTAAACAAAATAAATAAAATAGACCTATAAAGAGGACTTGAAAAAAGCCCCTAGATATATTTAACTGAAAAGAACAAAGTGCAAAACCCTGCACATAATATACTTATCTTGGAAAAATGAACCCAGAAACAGAAATGAGTTTCTATATTTGTAGATTTTTATGTAAATAGGCTGTTTCTGGAAGAATATAGGAGACACTTAAGAATGGTTATGCTGCAGAATCAGTAGAACTGGTTGTCTGGGAAAAGAGCATCACTGCACTCTAATATAACCAGTGAGTTTTTGACAACTTCACATATGTCGTTTCAATTTTTTAAATTTTCCTAGTGAATAAGTCTATTTAATGATTGCTGGAAAATTACTAGAATCCAGGTTTTATTTCTGCCCATTGAAGAAAAAGCTGCATCCTATCTCCTGAATGGACAGGCATCCATTTGGAGGAAATCCACATATCATAATTTACTTCTCTCTCTATTTTCGAGATTGTCGGTTCTGTGACTGCAGGGACTTTAAATGCCATCTTTACGTTGCAGATTCTAATTCAGTGCCTCACACTTACTGAGACCTCATACCATGTCAGCCAGAGGAATAACTGAATAGATTTGTCACTCGAATTTATGTGATTAGGGAGGGGACCTGAGTTAGAACTGCAGATCAGACAGTTTTTAGCCTCTGTATTAATGGCGTTACCTAGGAGCAACATCTAGCCTCACTCCTAGATTTTTCTATCAAGTCTAATTCTGCTGCCACCATGGCTGTTTCCTTTGTTATCAATACAGTTTAATGAAGAGTATAATTGTGTGATGGCACCTGTTCTGCCTGGAAGCCTTGGGATGAAGAACCACTGGTGTCGACTGAGTGGACAGCTTAGTGTTGCCAACCAGCCACGGGAAGAGACCAGAGAATCACCCATGTGTGACCGGGTGGCAGGAAAGTAATCTGTTAAGTTGACTGAGATGGTGCAGTGGAAACTTGTCAAGGAGATTAATTTCCTGAGATACCGAAGAACTAAAATTTGGACATAAACTATTTCAAAGGACTTGGACCCCAGATCACTGATACAATCTTGAAAACAGTTTCAGTAATATGGTTCCATTTGACAGGGTTGAGAAACGATATTGGTTTTCTAAGTCTCTTGGTCCAAAAGATGTATTTAATGTGGAACCAATTGCTGCTTAAAAGAGAGTGTGGTGGGTGATATAATCAGATTTCTGTATTTCATTATAGACATAGTGCATCTAGTGACCGCAGCACATGAGAGACGAAGAAAATGATTAGCAACCACAATAATAATACCTAACATGCAATTTGTTTTTATTAAGTAACAGGCACTGTTTATCAAATCAGTCTGCACAGCATTAACATCTTAACAATCTGTTTTAGTTCCCTAGGGTGTCATAACAAAAACACCACAACATGCGTGCCTTTACCGGACAGAAATTCGTTTTCTCACAGATATGGAAGTTAGAAGTCCAAATTCAGGGGATCCGTAGGTCTATGTACTCTCTCCGTTGGCTCTAAGAGAGCATCCTTCCTTGTCTCTTTCAGCCACAAATACTACAATAGCATTACTTTACTGTGTTTTGATGATTTCCACTCTATACTTCTACCTGAGACCTCCCTCGTAAGTGTCAGGATTTCCAACTTCATGCTGAACTTCTTTACTTAAATCTCTCAAAGGAACCAACCGCCAAATAAGAAAAATACTAAACGTCACTTTCTCCCAAAATCTACAATGCCATAGCCAAAAATGTTAGGCATTATTATCACTGCTCTAATTAGCACAAAAGGGGGAAACCTTGGTTAACAGCACCGCCTTGACATAGATAGGATTCGTATTCTCCAGTGCATACTTTCAAAAAATGTGTGTATGTATTTTTCAACCCTGCAAAGTTTGAGGTGAGTCTACTCTGTTATGCATTGAATTGTGTCCCCCTAAAATGTGTGTCAACTTGGCTAGGCCATGATTCCCAGTATTGTGTAGTTATATCTTATGTGTTGTAAATCCTAACTTCTATGATGTTAACGAGGAAGCATTAGAGGCAGTTATGTTAAGTAGGCAAGACTCAGTCTCCAGGATTAGGTAGCATCTTGAGTCAATCTCTTTTGAGAAATAAAAGAGAGAATCGAGCAGAGAGGAGAGGGACCTCATTACCACCAAGCAAGAATAGCCAGGAGCAGAGCTTGGCCTTTGGACTCCAGATCTCTGCACTAAGAAGTTCCTACACCAGGGGAAGATTGATGACAAGGGCCTTCTCCTAGAGCCAACAGAGAGAGAAAGCCTTCCCCTGGAGCTGGCGCCCTCAATTTGGACATTTACCTTCCTGAACTGTGAAAGAATAAATTTCTGTTTGTTAAAGCCATCCACTTGTGGTATTTTTGTTATAGCAGCACCAAATAACTAAGACAGCCCCCAAATAAGAAGAAAACAGGGCGACTTGGGTTTAAAGCAACAAGAAAGTCAAAGGAGAGCAATTCTCAAAATAGAGATATGTATAAGGGTGACAGCTGTACAGATCGAGAGTAAGATTCTGGAAGCATTACCAGGAGGCAGAAGTGGAAAAGTTGTCCAGATTGGAACATGAGATCCAAAAAGACGTTTCCAAGGGGGAGAAAACTGTAAGTGACTGTCTGTGGATAGTGCCTGT